AAATATGCAATAAGATATACAAATGAGAGTGAAAGGAAAACCAGAGCACATTCATACAGCATCTCATAAATTCTTCTTGCAAGCAAATCCAGTGATATCTTAGTTAGTATCATAAATAATGTAATGATATTGTTATTTGTTTGTATAAATAAAAATTATGTATCAGTCAAGTCCTCTAAAATTCCTGTCTGTGGGGGAAGAACACCAACTGTATCTCTAGACAATACATAAAATTGCAGCAAATGGTTGTGGCATCAACACATGTAATAGATCAGGAAGTGTGGATACAGAAAGCTCCTCCAGACAGGACCTCCATTGTTAGCAGAGGGAATAAACCCTTCTTTTCACAAAATTATTTTTCCCTTTATGTCATTCCTTGTTAATGAATAAACATGAATAACCTTTTATCTGTTAACTCAATATAGCATGTACCTTTTTTACCAAATATTTTATGTCACATTTTATTTCTAGGAGTATTTATTAACACAGCTTCTTTATGTTCAACTTAAAAAAATAAAAAATGCTGAAAAAATTAACTGAAGAGTTTTATTGATACATCTTGTTTGTATCTACGGTTTCTGAAACAAAACAAAATTTTAGTAACCTATTATTTATTTTCTGGGACTGAAGGGAGAGATTAAAATCTTAATGTCAACAGATCAGTAGTGGTCTTTCCATGCGAGAATACCTTTGACATTATTTCATTTACATGATAGATTACAAACACATGGTCTTCTTGTCAAAAGCTCATTGCAGTTACATGTATATTATTTTCCAAAAATAGAGTTAGAGGATCATCAGTAAAGCTTTTAAAAGTTAGGAAAGGAATCTATGCAAGTCAGCTCCCTTCTGTATGCTTGTAATACTGACAGTGGTATCAAGATTTTCTGATTATGTAATATTTTTCCACTGAACCCATTCAATGCACACCGGCCAATACTCAACTTGTAAGTACATTTTTAATATTGCATTCACTGTCATTCTTGCATATTTAGTCTTAATCATTAGACTGTGCTTTTTCTTCCTGCTTCACAAATCACATGTTCTTAATGCTAAAAAAACTGACAAAAACATTTTTTACCTGGGTAACCACTTAATTTCCTAAGTAATCACTATTAACTGTGCTCATTCAACACAGTCCACACTAGCTATGGGAAGGGCCCTATGAAAAATGCTATCCAGCCATGTAACCAGAACTAGCATTTTAACTACACAGCGTAGCTGAACAAGACACTTCAAGAGAGTCTTCACCCCTTGCTTGGGTCATACCATCATAGGTTTGATGAAACAGCTGTTTGCTGAAAGCAACATCCAGGTCAAGAACACCCTAGGCTCACAAGTTTGAGAGAAATTACTTTAGACAGAATAAGAGATGACACAGAATCAGACCATTATAATATGCTCTATATTTCCACCTGTCAGATCTCCACACTTCTTCACTCCCTCCCCAGTTACTCATCTTAATCTTCCTTTGCCTCTTTTCTCTTGACCCTTGTTTTTCAACATGCCAGCACAAGGTTAGGAAAAGAATCTTCAGAATTACACCTTGAGCAAAAGGAACTGAGGTATATCCTGTAGAGTGGCAAAATATAAGAAACCCTTTATGAAAGTAACAAGATATGTGTCTGATAAAGTTTTTCCATATTTCAAATCTATGAAACTATGCAGACATGAACAAAACCAGACTTTTTTTCCTTTCTTAAAATTGGCAAAATGAAAGAGGCACCCAATGAGGGGGTGGGGGAGAGAAGCCAACCCAACAAAACTTGCAGCATGAAGAGCTAAATTTTGGCAAAGCTATAACAGGGACGTATAATGAAAGCCAGACCACTTTAATAGGTAGCAATGGCAGCCCCACCTATAATATAGCCCATAAAGGACTTTCTTTGAAGATTTAGTAGGCATTCTCATGGAGTGAGCCTGCACACATTTACAGCAGCTGAGAATTTGACATATACATATTAACAGAGCAAAATAGATCACAGCTTTTGTCATAGCACCAAATGAGAGACAGTAAGAATAAAATCAGCTGCATTCACAAATAAATATTAACACTTAATTTTCTCCTCTTTATTTAAAGTTCTGGAATGGATTTTAATGTGGCCTTCATTCAGTGCTAGACGTAGTATCGATTTTTTTTAAGCATTATTAATTTATATTGTATAAAATTATTTGCAGATGATCATGCCAAGGAAAAAAAACACAATTAAAACCAATACTCAAGTGGGGTGAAATTAATCTAATTATTAACTTGAAAAACAAAAACAAAAACATTTTTAAAAGGCTCACAACTTAGAAATACACAAATGAAAAAATTCATATACTGTATGGAAAATAGCATAAATAGCTCTGTGCACAGAAGATCAGTGTACTCCAAAATAATCTGTCACCCATTAAAACTTCCCAAAACTATCAAATCTTTCCTCAGATTAGCTAGAATTCCACCCCCGCCATGTGGTCTCCTCCATAAATATATTTTTTTCAGCTTACAATAAAAACACTTTTATTCAAATAAAATGTTTCCATAGAGTATCAAATATTTTATGCATTTGGAAGTCATCTGGGCATTTTTTCATTACTACTATTCCCCTTGTAGCTAGTATTATACACCCAGTGCATCTAAGCACTACAACCGCTCAGCACACTCGCACATCGAGGCAAAGAGGAAAAGCAATTGCCAGACTAGAACATTTCTCGAAAGCAGCAGAGAGAGCTTTGTGGGTCCTGGTTCTGTTCTGTACAATTCTCCTTCGTAGCTCACCAGGTGACAGAACACATCTGCTTTCCATAACATGACCCTGTAAAAATCACTTCAGAAACACCATTTGTAAGATCTTTACAATGCCCGTAACTATCATAGAAGCCATGTAAGTCAGTAACCACTTAAACAGCACTTGGTTCTTCCTATAAAAACATAGTTGTGGAATTACAGCCATGATTTCCCCAAATAACTGCTTCTTCTGCTAAACATGGATGGACCTCATTACCCAAGTGCTTACTGCAGTATAAATGAAGAGAATTTAAAAAATGAAGGCCTGCATTCCACAGTGTTGAGAGGGCATACATAGAAGATATTTGTGAAGCTGTTCTGCTTCATTTGTCTCATGTCAACACAATGAAAAGCTCAAACTGTATTTGCATACATGAACATTTAACTTTGACATCTGCAATAAATGATAGCTTTAATTGTAATTCTAATGAAAGCCTATGATCATCTGTTTGGTTGACCTTTTTCAACAAATCAGACTCTCTCCATTAGACAATTTCAATATGTTTGTTTGATCACCAGAGGAAAAGAAACACACAGGGGATTGTCTTCTGTCAATTTAGGTGGCCCACAGAAATGTTTGTTCTAGATGATGGCACCTACTTAGATTGCCTTAAATTTCTGTGTGGAATTTTCTCTCATAAAAAACTTGTTCTTTTCAAAGAAGTTAAGAACAACCAATAATTTTCATTTACTTTTATTTATATTTTATGGATTTATTGACAACATATATACATTGTTGGCACTGCAAGAAAAATAAATGCTTATAGTATTGAAATCCACATCTAATATATATTCATAATCACTGTCTTTACCCCACTGCTTACATCACAGAATTAAGTAATTATCATTTTTACTCTGTTTAGAGATTTGGATCACCCAATCTCATGAAATGCAGATGAACCAAAGGTTCATAGGCAAAGCACTAGGCATACATTTACACCCCTTTTTTAAGTAAAGAGCTGTCATACTAATTTAGTTAAGAATAACTATTAACTGGGGTTTTTTTCTGGGAGGAAAGAAAAGAAAACATGCTGCTCTTTGGAGATTTATTGCAGGACAGCAAGGTAGAGCACCACCCTGTTACCTTTCTTCCCATCCCAGTTGGTACAACCTAGTATAGCACCCAGGTACATGATGCACAGCTACACGGGTGTAGACGCACTATCCTTCCCATTGGTCCAGATGAAGATTTTATCTAAGACCTTGGGATAATAATCCTAACTTAATTACTAGTTCTATTGTCTGCAGCAGGTTGCCACCACAGCAAAGAGTGCCTGCATGTTTATATTGCTGACCATAGTGTGTCTGTGGGGGCAAGATCTCCAGAACTGCTAGGTGCATGGAGATTTTGGTCCCACTGAACATCCACTGTGGAAAAATAATCTTGTATAGCATTTACTTGTATGTTAAAAGATGGATAGAGCAGTCTAGTCTTGAATTGAGTACGGGAATGTAAGGACGAGATAGAACAAGAACTGTAACTGCTGTTTAGGATTCTACATAAGAACATTCTCCTTTATAGCCTAAAAGTTTGACTGCCAATTTATTATACCACCACAATTAGATTTTCATGCAAATACCAAGATTATAGCTCCCTGTTACTCCAGGGTTTAAACGTCTATATTTAAAATATGATTCCAACTTTTATTTTATTGTAAACCATTCCAGTTCAAGAAATCAGTTTGATTAATGTTGGATTTTCCCAACTATGCTTGTCATTTATGTACACATAAACTTCATATTCACTACATATACAAACAGAATACAAACTTAGAACTATTATGATTGGTATAACATTAGGACTTAGATTCCTAAACATTATTTTTCTCTGAAGTTATGGTAATTCATATACAACTCATTGTTTAATTTATAAAATTAATCAGAATAATTTATATACTACTCACTGCACGTGTGCAGTCAATTAAAAACATTATATATGCACCTAATTCTTTTAGGTTTATTATTGTTAATTTTTAAGTGGATAAAGCAAAGATTTTTTTCAAGAAAATACATACCCGAGAAGTAATTTATAAGAAAAGAAATCTTAAGTCTTTAACACTTACAGCTTTGAAACCTATCCTATATTCTTTACTTTTCTTTTATGTCTATGTAGTGTATATAAATATGGTAACAATTTCACACCAAGCAAAATTCATCTCAGCTGCATGCAAAAATCTGTCCTTACATAAAGACCAGCCTAAAAAAGATCTGAAATTAAATAAGTACTCACTTGTTTAGTCTTTGTTTTTGTAATGGTGTCCGAAATGGGTTTCTTCCTCTCTTTAACAGCTGTTTTAGAAAACAGTTCTTCAAACTCATGATAATCTATGGAAGGCTCTTCAATTTTTTCCCACACAAGTGAAGCACTAGAATCTCTAAAGTTAAGCAAAAGACCTATGTAGGGCAACGTCAAACTAAATAAGAGCATAAACGGAGGAATGAAGAAAAAAAAATAAAAACAGCAGCAATTTATAAGTTGTTGCCTAAGTTCTACTAGCAGAATTTTTATAAGATATACTGTTGATTCTCTATATACTTATTTCCTTCTTTGTTCACAAAATAATGATCAGGTTCATCTACATTCACCTGTTTTACACACATAGGAATATGAATAGGCTGTATATAAGCTATCAAACATACAAAGATGGACACAAAGAGAAGTAGAAGTAGACAGTTATCTGCAGACCACCTGTGTGACTGTGGCAAAAACTTGAAAAGAAAGAAGAAATTAATCATTAAATAAAAGCAGAAGGGTTTTACAGTCAGTATACAAAGAAAAGATTAATAAGGAAAATTCTTTCCATAACCAAGAATGACATTTTACAAACAAACAAAAAGCATCAACAATGAAGAAGTATTTCAAAGTCATATCAAAGTAAAGACTACAAGAATAGCTTTATGCTGCCATGCAAATAAAATGCAGTTCGAATCTGCCTGTTGAGTGTACAAGGTAGGGAGAAAAAAAAATAAAAATTCTAGGTCACTGGAGAAAGGAAAGAAGAGGATAAAATGCATTCAGCATATGTTCTTCTAGAGGGAAGAGACTACCAAAACTTGCAAGGTGCTCCAGAGAGACCAATGCTATCTTGAAAGTCAAGAGGAAGCACAAATATGACATTTTGAAGAAACATCTCACAGAACCCTTAGTTGCACACAGTCATCCCTGGATCTCTGATCAACGCATGGTTTGTAACCCCAAAGGACAGATGAAAACACTAACCTCAAACAGCTTTCATATGCAAATAATGTTACTCTGAGATTGTGAGTTTTAAATAAAATGGGCACTCCATTTACATATCTAACTAGAAAAAAAAAATCCTGTTTGCACTGAGGTTCTCCCAAAGACCTGCCTAGTAGTAAATACAGACTTTTGCTGACAACACCCGAAACTACCAGGACAGCCATAAAGTAAAAACACCACTCTCTTCACAACTCTATGACTTACCTTTTACTGTGGAGCTGAATTCTTGTCCAGTAAAGAGGCTTCATTGGCCGAGAAGGCTCTATCACATGTTTCCTGCTTCCTTTCTCCTGGTGCATCCCCATTGCAAATAAACCAGATGGTAATGGAGGAGGAAGAAACCCACAGACCTGTGGGACTGCTGGGTAGGTGCTGCCCTGGGCTGGCACTGGAAGGGGTGGTGCTTCTCCAGGCAAAGGTGGTGGGGCTGGAGGTGGCATCCCCAACCCAGGCAAAGGGGGAGGTGGTGGAGGGACACCAGCACCAGGCAGAGGTGGTGGAGGAGGAACACCTGCACCAGGCAGAGGTGGTGGTGGAGGTGGGACACCTGCACCAGGCAGAGGTGGTGGTGGAGGTGGGACACCTGCACCAGGCAGAGGTGGTGGCGGAGGTGGAGGAGGGACACCTGCACCAGGCAGAGGTGGTGGCGGAGGTGGAGGAGGGACACCTGCACCAGGCAGAGGTGGTGGCAGAGGTGGAGGAGGGACACCTGCACCAGGCAGAGGAGGAGGAGGGGGTGGGATGCCTGTACCAGGAAGAGGTGGTGGTGGAGGAGGAGGGGGTGGGATGCCCCCTCCAGGCAGAGGTGGAGGAGGTGGTGGCAGACCTGCTCCAGGCAGCTGTGGTGCTGAGGGTGGGGGTGGCATTCCCAGGCTAGGAAGAGGAGGAGGTGGGGGAGAGACACCAGCCCCAGGTAAAGGTGGTGGTGGAGGGGCAGGTGGGATTCCCCAACTGGACAGAGGGGGTGGGACTCCTGCTCCTGGCAAAGGTATTGGAAGAGGTGGTGGTTGGACTCCAGCACTTGGGAGAGGAGGGGCTAGAGGCAGCGCCAGCATCTCCCCATTTGGCAAAGGTGGAGGCGGAGGGGGTGGTGGCACACCAGGCAACGAGTGGTCCAGGTGTGGCACCACTGAGCCAGCAGGAGGAAATTCTGAGCTCGGCAGGGGTGGTGGGGGTGGGACTCCTGGCATGGACATAGGAGTGGCAAGGGAAGGGCCATGTGCTCCAGACAACGGAGTAGCCAGTTCTGTGGCTGGGTGTAATGTGGGAATGCTACATGTGG